GACATGTCTATCCATACCATATCGTGAACAAATATATCGTGCATCCGCAGCAGCTGCACCAGCAGCAGCTTCAACAGCAGCAGCAGCAGCGTATGGGAACACACCCATTTCTTCCAGTTTGTCGAGTTCCTCCTTAATGACGACAGGGTTCTTCTTAAGGAGAGCTTGCTCCCTTGTAATCTTTCTCTCAGCTTTGTTCTGCCACAAAACAGCCACGGGACCAAAGCAGCTAATATCTTATCTGTGCATGCAGCACACGCCGCTACTGGCGGAACCTCCTTATTCAAACGGTAGTGAAAAACGTACATAGTACAGCCATACATACACGAGCGCAGATGTATAGACACACTCCCATCATATATTTGCACATACGAAAACATGAAATGCATACATTGTCTGGATATATATACTTTCCGTACGTACACTATAATTATAATATTTATGCATGTATCTACAAGCGCACCTTCTTTTTCTCGGCGTCCCTCTCCTTGCGCCTGTGGGCGGTGGAGGGGTTGTACGCCTTCAGGGTTTCCACCCCAATGAACTTTTTGCTGGGGTTAAACATTTTCAGAGAAGGCTAGCAAACACGTGTTCCCTAGATGGCCGACTCCGCTGCAGCGGCAGCTGTTGCTGCTGCTGCTACAAGTCAAAGAGATATTTCTGATCCCTGCAGATCGAAGAGGTTCCTGAAAAGCCAAGATGGTGGGGGAGGCAATGTAACATCCCTCTGCAGTGCCTCGGTGCGAGGCCTCAACTCCATGCATAGAGCTCGCGGAGATCCTACTCTACGCGACCCTCTCCTGCTGCTTCTGCTTCTGCTGCTGCTTATTCTGGCCTCCTCAATCGCGTAAGGCAGCAGCAACTGCTGCTGCTTCTGCTCGGGCGCGCCCAGTTCTTACGGGCTGGCAGTACTCGAGAAAAGCGACACTCCGGCGCGCGCTGCGCTTCTCTGCCGGATAAACTGCTTTAATTGCTCTTTTTCTTCGGTCCAGGTAAACAAAAGAAGCAAATTTCGCTACTGTACCCTCAGAGGGGCCCCTTGCCTCCTTTGGGGCTTCCACGCTGCTCTGCTGCCGCTGGAGCAGCAGCCGTCCCGCGCCTTAATGGATGACGCGTGTGGTGCTGCATCATAATAAGAAGATGCTTGTTTAAAAGCATTAATTTGTGCAATTAATTATTGTTGCAACTGTTTTCGAGGAGAGCAGGAACAATAATTTGTTCGTTACTGCCTGCAACCCGGCGACTACCGCCTCTGCAGCCCCGCCACCGTCTCTCCAGTGTCGCGTCATCTCGAGGCCATACTGTGTCTGTGTTCTAGGACCTAGCGGGACAATAATCATTTTAAATGCAACGGTTTCTTCATAAGCTTCTCCTTTTACACCTCATCCTGTAACCTCAAAACTTACACCGTGGTCGCGTGAGACAGTCAGCCGTTGGTCCCCCCAACAGTTGTCGGCTGCCCCTTTTCACTCCTGTTTGTCTGATTCTGGGTCTGCCTGCCCGTTGTCTAGTGCTTTTTTCTGTCTTCTGTTTCTGCAAATAAACGACGTGTCTCACCAACACCGCGCACGAGCCCACCAACATGGCCCCCCCCTTGTTCCTCATCGCTGCCTCTGCCGCTGCTGCCTCTCTCACTCTCAGCCCCGATGCCTCTGTTCACGCCTTCAACCTGCAGCTGAAGACAAGCAGAGCTGCAGCCCTGCCTGCTTTCGTGTCTCCCTCAACGGCGGTGTTCAACGGCCCCCCTGGAGGGCCCTCGGCCCCTCTGACGACGGCGGGGCCACCACCCGTGCCGGCCTCCGAGCTGCGTCTACACGCAGCAACCAGCCCTCCCGGAGGGGATGCATCCACTTCCACGGCAGCTGACAACAGTGTGTTAGCAATGGCTGCCTTCTTGCGCTGTCATAAACCGTTGCTGAATGACCGGGGACCCGAGCTGCCCGACGGGAACCTGTGCATGCTGCTGCGGGGCTGCGACGCGCATCAGCGTATGATATCTCCACTGGAGCTGAAGACAAATGCGGAAGCACTTCCGGGGGCAGCAGCGGCAGGCGTGATGGCAGCAAAGGGCACTGGTGCAGCAGAGGTCCTATGTGAGCAACTGGGCGAATCCCTCAAACTTAGTAAGGGGCCCCATGGGGTCTGTCCAGTGGAGCTGCTGAAGCTGGAGGTGGGGAAGGTGCATCGGTTGCTGCAGTACGCCACAGCTGCGGGTCTTAAGAAGAACTTCTTGAGTTCTGATGCCCTTCTTGTCATGCTTGAGCTCTACGAGGTACACCCAAATGCCAATACGGCGCAAATTCACAGAAGCTGCAAGAGCGTAAGATGTATGTACACCCCGTTGCTTCAGGCGTACCGACACCTCCGCTGTCACTTATTCTCTTTTGGTGCGGTTCAGGAAGTTGGTCTCAACAGCGACCACATCGTGCATGTCGTCAAAGGCCTCAGAGATTTCTACCAGGCAAGGCTACTCTNGGTCTCAACAGCGACCACATCGTGCATGTCGTCAAAGGCCTCAGAGATTTCTACCAGGCAAGGCTACTCTCGGTGCAGCTGCTGCATTTGTTTCTATTCTACTGCTGCTGAAGGATGATGGGGAACTTCTTTTCTTACTGCTGTTGCTGCTGCTGGTGTCCGACTGCGAGTTAATACTGTGAGAATGCATGAGCTGTCTGTTCCCTTGTTATGTTGGCTCAGAGGGAAATGGATGAGAAGAGCTTCAACACATTTTTCCTGCCGGCTTACGACGAGGTTCTCGCAAAGTTCAGCGACGCAAAGAAGGTAAGGATTTTCCTTGAGAGGGATGAAGACTGGCTTCACTGTATTCGCATCAGCACAGACACCAGCAGCAACACCAGAAATATACTGCACAGTTATTGATTGTTGAATTGTTTTAGAAGTAGAAGCGAATTAGTGTTTGAAGAACTAAATAGACTTGAAACATACGTTGCGGTTAAGAATCTACCAACGGGTAAAATAAAGGCGATGATGGGGGGGCCATCGTCAGAGGTGTTATTAACGCCGATTCATAGCGGAAAAGCGCAGCAGCGAGCAACGGTGGCATATCTAGATGCCTCTACATTATCCATCTTCCATGATTCAATTGCGCGGCACTTTGTTTTGTGGTCGTTGTCTTTTTGTCCTTTTTGTGTTTACGTGGTGCTTGCTCGCCACCGCAGCTGGTGAAGCCTGCAGAGAAGGTGCNTTTTTGTCCTTTTTGTGTTTACGTGGTGCTTGCTCGCCACCGCAGCTGGTGAAGCCTGCAGAGAAGGTGCCGTTTTCCTCTCTCCCCTACGAGCCCACACCGGATCCCCGAACCCTCACGCCTCTTGTGGTGGACATAATGCAGTTCAAAGACAAACTGCGTACGCAGAAAAGCCTAGACACTGCAGACGTGCATACACACTGCAGGCGTGCCTCGTTGCCTCCCGTCCCATCGTGTTGACTGCAGCCGGCAGATAGCAGTCACATTTCTACACTTTAATTAAAATAAGATAGCAAGCTACGCAGGGCCTAGCCGAAACCCGACGTATGCGCATTGGTGCCTTCAAACTGGTGTCCGTTCGTCTGTTTGTCTGGATTTTGTGCTTAGCTAGTCTCAAGAAATGGGAAGGCAAGCAATAGAGCGGCAGTGCTACGCCGGAACGGGCTCCTAGACTCGGGCTCGTCGTTCTCCAGCGTACACTCCTTCACCAGCCATTGCAGCTACAGCTCGTGACGGCTTCCACTACTGGAAAGAGTTTGATTTTCAGGAATTGGTAGCTGTTGGGGAGATGCAGCGCGGGGCAAGATAAGGGCATCCAGAGCCTGCAGCTTGGTGCTAAGGGCTAGGGATGTAGGGTTTAAAGCTGCGAGAGCTCTGAAGGCGATGTCCTGAAATTGTCGTTTGAAGAAGCGGTCTGCCAGACCTCCCCACAGGAGGCGCAGANTCTGAAGGCGATGTCCTGAAATTGTCGTTTGAAGAAGCGGTCTGCCAGACCTCCCCACAGGAGGCGCAGACACGAAAATACGTGCATTTGCTCCACGTAAGCACGTCTCTGGTTGCAGTTGCTGCCGTTGCACACTGTATATCAGCAGTGACAGCGAGCTGAGACGTACTGCAGCGATCGCCTCGTGTAGTGATGCTTTTGGGGCGGGCCAGTGTCTCGTGCCGAACAATAACCAATTTGTAGGGCGGTTGCAGAAGCCTGGCCACCACCTTTAGTAATACATCCTTTCAAAGGAAGCAAACTGAACAGCTTGCAATTATGTTGCAGATTGAAGATTTGCAACTTATCGTGCTGCTTAGCACGCTGACTATTGATAAGCACTAGCGAGCCACATGAGTCCTCCGTTCCAATTTATCCACTTTGCTGTGTATGCGCTGACGCACACATTGATAGCAGTGGGTCGAGCAACAAGGCAAATACTTCGTCGTCACTCCAAGCTGCTCTNCTGACGCACACATTGATAGCAGTGGGTCGAGCAACAAGGCAAATACTTCGTCGTCACTCCAAGCTGCTCTACGGTTCTACATTAGACGGTTCAACGGTGTGCATGCAGCGCTCAGGCGGACGCCGGCTGCACATAGCCTATCAGCGAAAGTCTAAGAATAACTGAGCGAGCTCAGCGGGGGATCATCCGGATGTGGAAGTGGGGATATCGAGGTTATAGAGAAAAAGCTTAGCTTGGTCAGAGCGTTTCATCGCATTTGGGTTCTCGAGCACTGCCACGCTGTTGCAACTGGGGCGCCTGCCTTACTCCAGACGTTGCCAAACTGTCTGATCTGTATCCGACGAAAGCAGTCTTTATTTTGATGTGCGCATCATCCCCGTCTATTGGGCTGAAGCAGTTCAAATGAAAGTAGCGGAACGCACCACTGGTCAGGCCACTGATAGTGACGGACACCCATGAGCAGCAGAGGGAAATCAATGTGCACGCACATTGGACAATATTATTTGCTTAGTGTATTTGAGTATAGGCTGTTAAATACATGAAAACGGAACATTTCTCTGTAAAACACCCAGACAACTGTGTACCAACCAGGGCGTCGGTTGCACTGCTGGCGGCCGTAGAGAAACTTCTGCCGATCACCTGCTGAAGTCGGCCCCCAAACTACTCGTTCACCCTAGAAAACGTCCATTGATATTCTTTGCCCGTTTTATTTGAGTAAACAATCGGCAGACGCGGCGGTCCTGCGTAGACCTCCCACCGACGAGCATGTTGAATGTTGTAGTGCGTGGCCACCCTTTCGACCGCAGCTGAAAATGATGGGAAAGTAACATACTGGCACCAAAATAATCTGCAAATTTTAACGCCAATAAATTCTGTTCGAGGAGAGATGATCCAGTGGTTGCAGGNCACCAAAATAATCTGCAAATTTTAACGCCAATAAATTCTGTTCGAGGAGAGATGATCCAGTGGTTGCAGGGGACGACCGAAGTTTCCTCTCTTGCTTTCTCTGCACCCCTCTATTTCACCGGCTCGTGGCGGTAACTGCTACACAAAAGATAAATAATGAATAAGTACTTATCAGGATATCACAATTTTTTCCCTTCGCACAGGTCTTCACTGTTCTACGTTTTATTCTTTCCCTGGTTTCAACCTGCCCACGCCTTTTGTCTGGGGTCACTTCTAATCCCCTCTATGAGCCTTCATGTTTCAAGAGCGTAACACGCCCACCCCCCTGGGAGCAGCACTGGGGAAGCAGTTCAAGCTCGCTATTTTTGCTACCTGCATGGGAAGCCGGTGCTCCGGCGCTCTGTGCTGGTGCTGCAGCAAAGCTTCGCTGTGATGGAGCGGGGGGAGCAACAGGACCATCTCGTAGTATCAGCTGTGCAGCGGAAGTACACCTTCTGCGCACAGGCGGATCCGAGTACAAGCACGGCAGCGGACGGCCCTGAAAGTGAGGCATCTCGTGGCAGTGAGACTGACAGCAGCTGCAGCCATTCCACTCCTTTGGGTTGCTCGCAGCGCTGCAAACCACGAAGCCAACCCGCAGAAGCAGCACCGTTTCGCCCCCCTGAGGACAGCGCTGAGACTAACTGGGGCGAAGAGGACTCTGGAGACCCTGGCTGCTCTCTGTGCACTTCTCCTCCCCCCAAACGGAAACNAACTGGGGCGAAGAGGACTCTGGAGACCCTGGCTGCTCTCTGTGCACTTCTCCTCCCCCCAAACGGAAACGCCCTTCCCATGCAGTCATCCTGCAGGCCTGCAGGGGCCCTGTACCAGCGGAGTACACGAAAGTTGGCATCACCAGGACGTATTCAGATCTAGACATTTCTCAGGAGACAGCCGGGAAACATGCGGAGGTACGCCTCCCCTTTTCACAACTGGGTACCCTTAAACCATCAAAAAAAAACTAAATGTAGTAAATATATAATTATGATCGCCCAACACTTACCTCAGGGTCCGTTGAAATGCAGTGCAGGCGAACACATGCCGAAGAAATGATTTATATACTCTGGAGTGTCCTAACACTGTAGGGAAGCCTACTTCTCCAAGGAGGAGGCTGCCTTATTCCATGTGTATTTCTTCTGCTTTTGCTGCTGCTGCTGCTGCTGTGAGTAGCAGGAAATCGGCAGCGACGTCCCGTTGCCAAGGCAATTATCAGAGCCGCTGCCAGTGTCGTTACCCAGCAGACAGCAGCGCAGATACAAAGTGCTGCACAGTTTTGGTAAGCAGAAACGCACGTGTCGTACATCATGCGTGCGGCAGCTGTATTGAAACATGTTGCTGCTCCTAGGCAGGCATCCGTTGCTGCTGGCTCACACACCTCAACTCCTGCTGTTGTGTTGCGGGTTGCTCCGTTAGCAGCAGCAGCAACAGCGGCTGTTCTAGCAGTTGGTCAAGTTGGGACTTCGATTCAGCACAGCAGAACACCTGCACAGCTTCTTCGTCAGTGGCGCGGAAAGACGATACAAAATGAAACCAAATTTCTCCTTGCATGCACTTTGCTGCTGTTACTGCTGTTTTGCTGCAGCGATGGTGTTAACGTTTGTGGCAGTCGTCTCTCTGTGGGGCATCGTGGTACATTGCACAGCAACTACCGCAGCTTCTCTTTCCTATAATATTTCCCTTGAATGCACTGAAAGTCTCTGTACAGATGGGCCATCCCTTCATATTCTGTGATGAGCTAGTAGAAGAGAACAGCCTCCTAACAAACGTAAATACAGGCTCTAGAATGCATTTATTCGCTGCTGCGTTTGTATTTGCGTCCCTTTTCCCAGGATATGGGGGTGGAGGTCGCCTCTGGGGTCAGCAGCGGCCAACAGTTTCAGCTGTACGCGATACTGCTTGTCATTGGCGTGTTGGCGGCGTTAGCGCTAAGGAAGCTGAAGGCTTTGTCTTACAGATGGACTTCTTACCCAAGTAAAACAGTCGCTTCGATGCTAGCCACTCTTTACTGCGCAGACTACCCGACCCTCAACCTATCCGAGTCTAGAATAGTGCAATCTCAGGAATGTCTTTGGTGCTGTTGCTGTCATTGTTTCTTCCTGCCCTTCTGTTCTTCTGTTGTACCTGTTCGTTCACCGCAGTTGTTCAGTTGGTGGTAGAGATGCCTTTGCTGCATGAGGTATAGCTGCTCACAGAAGAGACGAGCCGCAGATGAGGGAGAAGCACTGATGCCCGCGTCCTGTTATTTTGTGCTGCATGCATTTGCTCGTGTTTGTGTGTCTTAGCATTGCTGGCGTCGTTGTTGACGGCTGCTGCTGCTTGGGGCCTGGTGGTAAGGGAACACAGCAAAAGATTCTTTCTCAAATATTTTTCCTTCTTGGTGGCTTCAGTCGCCATAGATTGCAATGGACTTGCAGCTGCGCAAGTGACGTGTGCAAACAGAAGTCGGTTGCTGCTTTTCCTTAACTTTCTGCCTTTCAGTTGCTGGTATTTGTCTCATGCCGGCTGCTGACGGTGGGCCTCACTTGGTAACTCTTGTGGTACACTAACCTCCCTGCAATCAAGTGCACAGATTACAGTTGGAGTTAAGTGCTGCATATGTCTATGTATACACAGCTCTGTGTCGGTGTGGATAGGACGTGGCGATTGAAGTAGCGGCAGGAGAAGACAAGGCCCGGCGTCTGCTGTATTATTTCTTTGGTTTTTTGGCGGCTGGGTTTCTCGTGGCTCTGCATGTGGCGCTCATCGACAGAGGATTCAGCAAAGTTGTGGAGGGGTTTATCTGACAGTAAACAAGAACTTATTACTAGCGGGTTAAAAAGAGTATAAGTGCAGCAAACAGGCCCTCATATCGTACCGTAGTAGGAATCGCAAAACCCACCTTGTGCTCCACTCTTATTTCTTGGTGCTTATTCCACTTCCAAGAGAGGAAACTGACGCGCGACGCATATGCTGGAGCGCAGAGCTGCCGGTTTTTGTCCTGCAGTCCGTTTTCACCTCATCAGACTTTCAAAACCAACGACCGCCTCTTAGGCTTTCGCAAATGCACCTCAAGCACCGCAAAATGGTTCGTACAGCCAGGCGTTGCCAGGGTAGTGCTGCAGGTCCTAACAACGACGGAGGCTAACGACCCGAACCAAAGGAGAAAACAAGCGATGCAACATTTGTCGAAGATTGACCCAGTAAAACAGATAAAACTGCGGTGTAACTTTAAGCGCCTCGAGTGTAGCGCAGGGAAACCCCTGGAACTTGGCCACCTCACCAAGGCGAACAGCACTCCTACAGATCATTTGGAATGCTCTGCTAGTAGCGGATCTATAAGTGTTTCGTTCTGCTAACATCTCTTAGGAAGATACGATTTAGTCCTGAACGTCTCTGCTAAGCAGAAACAAGCACAGTCAATTTGTGCTCGTTGGTCTACCAATGATGCTAGCGGCGGCACTCCACTGTCCGCTCGTATTGGCAAAGTCATCATGCAGTGTACGGTAAGTTCAGAGACATACAGAAAATAGCTATAAGGAAAGAAGGTGATGAGCAATAAAAGTAAACGAAAGGGGTATGCCGAGGCAACAATTTCACAGGTGCATGCGTGCAGCTAGGCCAAAGTAGCAGCTGCTTTGCTGCCACCTCCACTGCTGTTGGCTTCATGTCGTTTATTGGAAAAGGCGACCTGCGGAAGGTCCCCAATGGATACTGTGCGGTAACGTAAGCGAACTCCTCCACGCAGGCGGGTGCCCCGGGAAGCGTTGTCTTCGCTTCTCAACAACGTCTTTTAAGCACATCCAGGGACATCTATGACTACGGAATATCTCCTGAGCTGTGTCCGTCTGTGCACATATATATATATATATATATATATATATATATATATATATATATATATATATACATACACGTAATATATGNCTGTGCACATATATATATATATATATATATATATATATATATATATATATATATACATACATACACGTAATATATGGCTACACATCATACATGCTTTCGTACACCTGGAGAACTCGCACTGGCGTTTGTTAAACTACCTCGAACCCTGTCTTGCAGATGCGTCAAGAGACACGGCGTAAGACGAAGGACAATGTAGAACAGGGCAAACAACTGCGCCTTTATATACCCAGAGGAAATTGCAGCAGTGGGGGTACGACGGCACTCTCCTCTATACACCCTGATGACATTGCAGCAATGGTCGTACGACGGCACCCTCCCCCACACAAACAATAATGCAGCTCGATAAGTACAAAGATTCACTTATTTACTCGAATGAAACGGACCTGATGCTCCTGAAGAACCGCCCACGAGATCGCCAGCTTTGAAATACACAAATATACAGGTGCGGCGAGGTGAAACAAATGGTTAGCTAGAGAATCAAGTCTAAGACCTCGAACCCAACAGGCTGAAAATGCAGCAGCCACGCATTCAGCTAGGAGAACAGGAAGCTTATCTCCACCGCCAACTACGCAAGAATTTCATAACTATTACTGTAGCTAAATACAACACTGCAGTCGAATACCTATTGCGGCTACTGCTGGAACAGCTTCCCAAATGCTGGGCATCTGTGGTTGGTGTGAGCCTCAGACTGATATTAGTTGTGAGATTAGTAGAACCCTACCTTTTGAGTGAGGAGATACATAGGAAATTAGCATAACGGCTGACGCCCTAAAGTTGTGCCTGCATGGCCGACTTCAAGCTGCTTTTCCACCTTCTTCACCTGCGTGAAGAACCAAACGAAGGGCATAACGACCCCTAAGCTGACTCTGGAGGGACCTAAAACTCGTCGGCTGATGACGAAACTGAACTCCCTCTGCGACTCGAGGACCAAGTGAAAACAGTATGGGGCTCTGCTCCAGGCAAGATTTCGGCGAATCCGCAAAGGAACCAGACTCGCTGCACTCAAAAGAGTTAACCCTGCAGTTAGCAAAGAGTGACACAGCTGCGAAGCAATTCATATATCGTACACGGAAACCTACAGAATACTCGAAGGTGAATGGCTCTAGCAGTGTGGGGTCCGTCTTTCGGCCCTGCGCAACTCCAGAATCTCCTTGGAGACGAATAAGAATCCTCATAGTTCTACTGTTACATATATTATTATATTTGTGCAGATTGATACCAAGTTTCGAGCTAGCCAATTCGGATATTCGCGCCCCCCGAATAGCGTCGAGACACTGCACCGGCTCATGCATCGCCCCAGCTTGGCGCTGGCGCGATGCATGGTCCAGTGGTCCAGCGGAAATACCAAGCAGTTACACCAAGCATCTACATCCTTTAGCTTAAATGAGTATTAAAATGAACCGATGATGTCCGTGAAACCAGCGAAGATGCTTATGAAAAGGCACCAGCCAACTTTATGCACACCCCAGCTAGCACACCCCAGCGGACGTCTCTAGAAGCGGATCGCCGCCCCACGAGACGCGTCCGAAGTTGCGAACTGAATGTGTAGGCTTGTTATCTAAGATTAACAACTACCACTTAAACATTTATCTTGAGCATGCTTATGGGGTAGCTTATTCAAGCGATAAGAAGGCATCAACAATAACGTCTCTTATACGTCTTAACCGCCAATACTTGTCTGTCACCAGCGGCAGACAGCGGTGTGTTGGCGCGTACCGTGTGGTATGCTGGGAAAGGGAATGATGAGTGTCTAGAACAGTGCCCTGTAAGCCTGCAATCTTCTGAGGAACTCTGCACAATACGTTTCTTCTGCCAACCGGAGAATGGGCCCGCCTGCCGTGTCGCCGTCGTTTTTCTTGAAAGTGATAGGGAAAGGCTGCAGCATTCCCTCGTTGAAAG